CAACACTCTAACTAGATCATACATAAACTATTTAAAGTTACTTTAAAATAGGGTACTTAGTACTTATTATTATTGAGGTGCAATATTGTAATGTATTTTGGGATACTTAAGCCATCCCAATAAAATGTTTCGTTTCCCATCGCCCTCCCTCTCGTGAGGGTGGGTCGGTCGGTCGGGCAAAAAAAAAAAAAAAAAAAAAAAGAGTGAACACGTGATTGCATATTAAATCTTACGATTAGTCTGCAAGATGTAATCAGATGGTAAAAGATGTATATTAACAGAACTATTAAATGTCTAAAAAGGCTCCAAAAACGAAGTATCGATGGTAATTTAAGACAATTGGTATTAATAAGACAAGATCGTGTGCTTGTAAATTAAAGTACTTGCTTCTTTACAAGTGATTCTGGATTTTTTTTTTTTACTTTTCCAAAAAATGGGTCGCTCGGGCGATGGGAAACGAAACATTTTATTGGGATGGCCTTATACTCAGACTGTAAAAGCAACAATTGCACAAAGTTAATTTGTAAGCCTTAATCAAGTCACGAACAATCAATCAGTCAATCAACAACTTTATTTAAGTGTCTAATCTTCTAGCTTGCCGTCAGGCCCACTAATCGGCGACACTACTTAAATTACGTATTGATAAGAAATATATATACATAATACTATAAGCTAATAAGATTTAACTATTTAACTCATAAATAACTCAAAACAAGCTGCCACATATTATGGACAGGATTCTTCTTTCAACAAAGTTCGAAGCTGAGCAAAAAATTAAATCTCCCAGCAAATCAAAAAGAAATTGATGAAAGAGAAAAAAATTCGGAATGGATTTTAGTTTTGACTGACAACACGTACGTAAATGTGACAGTGTGCCGATAAAAGATCAGTTCATTACCTGCAAGCTCTCTGCGAAAATCTCCGCGTAGATTTTAGCCGTGATTCAATTAATGCAGTTACGGGACATTCCATAATTTTCTTTTAAAGAAACTTCTTAAACTCGCATTTTAATTTCATATAGAAATTTTTCACAAACGGCCGAAGCCGCGGGCCGAGAACCGGATGCATGCGGTCAACAGAGGTTTATCTAAAATAAGCCCTTGAAATTACCTAATAAATAAAGTATCCAAGCTTGATCTTACCTCGTATATATTGCATCAACAAATTACTTTAAAAACTCTTTGTTAATAGCGTTTTAGACAGGTTTTAAACACCTCTAAAAGCAGTCGAAAAATACATTAAAAATACACTTTTCACTCTATTTTAAACCTATTTCACAAAACAGGTTAAAAACAGTTTTCAAAACCAGCTTAAAAATACATTCAAAACAGTGATGGATTTGTTAAGTGGTAGGAACGAGAAAACTAAATACCTAAAGCCTTAGAAACCGACAAACGTTAAGATAAAGAATCTTGGGCATACCCGTCCTTAGCCGATTCACTAGCCCAGCGGCCATGCCCAGCGGCCATGACGCTTAAAAGGTCGGTCTTGTACGCCAGCATTTGTGGCAGCAGTAGCCCCGCCACTCCTAAGGCTATGCGTACCAATGGCAGAATTAAATATCAGGTACAATATCTTGAATACCTTAAACCTTTAGATCTAGGCTTATAACCACATTTAGCTTTGGAAAAAGCTGGCAAAACAAAGGGCTACCGCAGGAAAGCCCAGCTCTTTCTAAATAACGGTTCACGATAGCAACCGGACAAGTTGCTTTCCCAGAAGAAGCTACAACAGTCCAAGCTCCATCCCTATACTGACCAGTTTTACTAGATTGAATAAATAACTTTAACATGTCATTTTCGATCTTAACATCGGATCGAACAAGCTTAACAAGCTCATCAAATCTGAGAAAGGCAGCAAAAGCTAGTAAGCAAATAACAACCGAACGAATAATACAAAGAGGCCATCGAGTCCGTCTTGCAGGCAACTAACTGCTCTAACTGAGAGACCGTGATAAACTCCTTCTTGGTTGTTTGATGGGCCAGCAAACGCTGCGCACCGGCAAGAATACTCTTCAACAACAGATGATAAGAAGGAGACGGCTCGCCACCCAACTGGTGAAACCAGGCAATGCTATCAGCTGCTGACTCCAGGAGAGATGCTGTTTTCGCCTCTGTCACTAAATGACGCAAATAAATAGCAAAGTGAAACGGAGAAGCAGGAAAAACTGTCAAGCCATGTTCTCGTGCCCAAGACCTCCATCTGTTGTAAGAAGAAAAATACTTGGAGGAAGTACCTGGTGCACTGCTAGTCAACTCAACATCCGGAAGAGAATTTGCAAGGGATTGTAAAACACCAGACCCTTGAGGAACCGCAGCCCGAAGATCCGACCAAATAGTAGAGCTGAAAACATCTTCAAAATAAAAGCAGAAAAAACACACACACAATAAAAAGTCAAAAACAAACAAAAATGACCTGGACGCTAGAACAGCAAGACCGAGATGAATTAGAAAACCATTAAGCCCAAATATATATCCCCACTAATTACTCACATACCAGCGCACATGCCTAAACGAATAAGATAACGATGAGAGCAGATTCTTCTGCTAATTACCAAGTCAAACGCAGGAAAATACTACTCTCCTCTAAATCTCAGTTTGACCCAATAAGAAAACACATACAACCATTGGGTGCGGTTCGCTTCAAGCCAAGCGCTGCACAAACCGAGCGGTCGAGAAAGGGAAAAATAAGAGCCAAAGAAACTGCATGCGTATACCCTCCACTGGCTACACACAGGCCAGCCATTGGCAGAAAAGGTAAGACTAATAAAACTAAATGAAATCGCGCAAGCCACCCACTGGCTAGAACAAATAATGTCAATAGGATATGCGTAAACCACCCACTGGCTATGACAAATAATGCCAATAGAATCGACATAAGCCACCCACTTGCTACGCGCAAGCCACCCACTGGCTATAACAAAGAACAAATAACGCTAATAGAATCTGTGTAAACCACCCACTGGCTAAAACACATAATCCTAAAGAAGTATGTACAAGCCACCCACTGGCTACCTGAAGGCCACCCACTGACCTCAGACTATCCGATGCCATCCACACACTGAAAAAAAAAACTCACTAGAAAATCATAAAGGTACCCAAAAAATAGCACACTTATCAAACTAAGCAGATGAACACCGAGGGTACCAACCTTGATCGCTAGTGCAAAAACCAGTAATAAAAAACCGCAGAGATAAGAAATTAATACGAACAGCCAACACCCTAAAATTAAGATTCTCTCTGCCAAAAACACCAAAGCTGTGGCGACCCATGCAAAAGATCGTCTTCAGGGGGGACAGGTCCACCAAATCTTCAAAAAAATGAGCCAGATGAGAAACGTCCGTTGTAAGTAAAGGCCAAAATGGAGCAGAACGCCAAAGCGCAACGATCAAAGTACCTTGTGTGCAGGGAGACCTTATGTGCTTCCGAGTCCGTGGAACAAGGTGAGGTGGCGGACAAACCCAATTGTTGCCGAAGTTCCACGACCTTGTAAAAGTGTCCATAGCTTCACAGTAAGAATTCAAAAACCTGGAATCAGATCTAGGTGATAAATGGTTATGCTAGTCAGCAAAACAACCAATAGAGTGAAGCCCCCATTTCAAGTCTAAAAAGCGAAAAATGTGAGGACTAACAGACCAGTCATGAAAATCAAAAATACGGCTTAAATAATGTGCTTGCTCATTTCTGGATCTGGGCACCCATTCAGGCTCAATAGAAATGCCATGATGAGCGCAAATCTCAAAAATACGCTTAGGTTCGCTTTGCGAACCAGCTTCCTGTTACCGACATCAATAATACGCGAAACATTCTGTTGTCCGTTTGCCATTTGACACATAATACTGCGAGCTTAGGCGCAAAAGATTGCAAAACCTTTTTAACGGCCAAAATCTCACGCATTATGATATTATGATGGACATTTCCTTTACTAAATCAGTCGAACAAACACCTTGAGCGGCCACCTGGGGCCTAAGTTCAACAATGTAACCGCCATATCAGGTGTCACTAGCATCCGAAATTGCAACTCTGACTGCACTGGATTTAAACCAAATACGACTGCCATTGAGATTATCTAAACTGGATTGCCAATACCTCCAACTAATTCCTCCATGACTGAATCTTCTAGATAAAAATTACAAAACCAGGAATTCTGAGCGGAAATCTGGGCGTACATGGCAGGAGACATTAAACGTGCGATATTTCCAATAGCCAAAAACATAGAGTTCAAATGACCAGCAACGCTAGCTAGATCCTTAGCGTTAACAAAACGCTGAGCAAGGATACGCGAAATACTCCCCTGCAACTTCCTAATCCTCGGAAGAGGAACGGTGATGAAATTAAGACTGAAAACTAGATGGAAACCGAGCCAGGTACCGACTTGAGACGGCTCCCACACTGATTTTGGAAGGTTCACAAAGAGACCCGCAGTGTCCAAATCAGAACGACTTAAACGACTATGGACCATGCAACTAGCGTAATGGGGGCTCCCGCCAATACCGTCGTCCCAAAAAGCAACAACTCGACGCCCAATACCGCGCCTGTAATTAACGAGCGAACGCAGTTATTTACTGAAAATGTGCGGAGCCGAGGACATTCCAAAAGGCAAAACAGTAAAAACGAAGTGCTTGACAATCGAACCAAAATTCCAAGAAAAACCCAGTTATTGGCGATGATCTGGAAAAATTTCGACGTGATGGATCAAAGGTGAAGAATAAATAGCCTGAGTGAAACAAATCAAATACATTGCAAATATCTTCGAACCGAACAGCACTGCTTCAAAATAAATCTGTGTAAATACGAAAGATTCAAAATAAGCCTGCATTTTCCACTGGACTGCTGCACCACGTACAGAGAATTGATAAACTTGGGTGGATTGAGAACTTCCTTAAAACAACCACACTCAATTAACTCTGAAATGGCCTCGTTAACAAAATCTTTAAACTTGAGGGCGGAAGATCTATTGGGAATAACAAAATGCTCAGGCAAATCAAAGAAAGGAATTCTTTAGCCTTCAACAATAGTGTTAATGATAAAATCCGAGGCCGGAATGGAATTGGACCAAAAATCAACGTGTTCCCTGAGGGAGCCAACTTTAAACAAACAAGAATCTGAAAAATTTTCAAAATTAAAGGCTTCACGTGGTTGGCTTTTCTGATCTTCCTGAAGAAATGAGATTGGGGCAGCTGTTTCTCCAGTGTCCTTCCGATCCATAAGGGAAGCAGGCTCCTCTCCTGAACTGAGCCGAAATGCGGCTTCTCGAAACTGAAAGGGAACTTGACAGCTAGCGTCGTCAGCGCCGAGGCGTGAATTAGAAGCATGAGAAAAATTTGTAATTAGCAGAACCCGATTTAACCCGCGATTTCTCTCTTTTAGAGTCAAGGGCCTTGTTTGCCGAATTTTCAGCTTTAGAAAAACGACGTTTGTCCTCGGGAGTATCCTCCAAGTCGTCAGTAACGTAATCGGAAACCGTGGTCCAACCACACTCGGATCGATCGGCCAACTTAATCAATTTTTGACGTTCAGACAAAAGCTTCTTACCCTCTTCCAGCTCTTTTTTTGCCTTATCCAGCTTCTTTTTCTCAGTGGCGAAGATGGCTGAATCAAATCTGGCTTCCACAGAATGGTTAAACCTGAATTGCTCTCGTTTCCCACTTTCTTCCACTTAATGGAATGAACTTCTTTAACTTTTTTCACCGCAGATCTTATGCAGTCCTCTTGATCGTCAGAATCAACACGTTCTAAGATGCGTCTTGAGATTTCGCTAAAGGCTCGACAAGTTCCTCCTTGTTCATAATGAATGAGCCGAACGTTGGAACAGCAAGACCGAGATGAAAGACAAAACCAGAACGCCCAAATACATACTCTCACTAATTTCCCACATACCAGCGCACACGCCTAAAAAAAACATAAGATACCGATAAGAACGTGTTTTCTTGCTAATTACCAAGTCAAACGCAGGAAAATACTAAAGCTTGCTGGAGAGCGCAATTATTTTCCCTTGCGCCCTTTGGATTAGATAAACAACAGGAATTTTACTATAAAAATCGTATTAATTATACATAAGACTTTGTGGCATTGACGCGCTTGGTAGCGAAGTTATTGTAAACATCTTTTTAAACAGCTTTTAACAATTCTTGATTTTTTTAGTCTTTGTTATATTTACAGTCTTTTGCAATTATAGCCTGTAACTGCCTAAACGCTTGGGGGCCCTGTTCGGGGATCCTGTTATTTTTGTGCTGGTTTTCCTACTGACATGCCTTTAGTAGGGATTTTTATTACTTTTAGTTTAAAGGCCCTGCTTTGGAATTACGTTTTAGTGTTTACCTATATGAATGTTCAGGGGCCCTAAATGGGGAACCCATTGCGTTTTGGCAGCTACATTCTGTCATTGTTTATTCTTAGTTCATTAGTATCTTTTGATTTAATTTCATGTCATTCCTTTTAATTTCAACACGTTACGTTACCTTTGTTCACCATTATCTTTTGTTTTCTGTTCAACTTGTTACGTAACCTTTGTATAGTTAGTGTCAATTTGGTAATTGTTGTCCCTCGTATTTAACTCTCGTTATATTTTTTATCTCATTTTTTTCTTTATCTTCCAAATGTTGTCCACTTTTGGTCTCTTTTAACTTTTATATACATATATAATGGTATTCTGGGTAGAACGTATTAAGTAGAGCGCTCAATTCGTTTGATTGAAGAGCATTGACTATAACTTCACAGGAGTTCAGGCTTCAGGGATAATCATCGTTTACTTCGACAGTGCTGTCTCTTATGGTCCGAAATTATAGCGGGGCTCCCTCGCGCGCGAAGCGCGCGTGGGACAGAACCCCATACTCATAGAATATGGTCAACCTCTTTTCATTTGGTTGTCACGTCACTGACCGAGCGTACGTACGTACGTACGTACGCGTCTACAGATTGTACGGGTAGGGTAGGGGAGACTATCAAAAGGAAGGGAGGGGTGTCTCAGGTGTGTCTTGGCAAACCCATATCTTTTATATTGGCCATTCACAATATGGTCAATTGACAGCTGTCAAAACAGGATAGCCACTGACCAGTATCACATTGCCATATCGGGGGCTCATGTGTCAACTCATCAAGGTGACGTGGCTTATTTGGAAGCTGTCCGCTGACCAGTTGTTTTAGTAGCTCGCAATCAATGTTCAATCTCATACTTTCTAGGTAGCTAATTAGAGAGCACAGGAAAACTGATAATGCACACGTCCATTGGACATCAATGTTGTGATCAATTGACAGCTGTCAAAACGAAGTATCCGCTGACCAGTATCACTTGACCGTATCGCGGGCTCAGGTGTTGACCCATCGAGGTCGAGTATTTTTTGAAGTTATCCGCTGACAAGTTACTAGTTTTCAAATGATCGCAGACTGAAGTTTGACTGTTTTTTATTTCATATGAAATATGTTTTGTTTTTGTGCCGCACAATTAAAATATTGATTTAAAACTGACCTCGGACGCGAAAATTCAGCCAGCTATTACAGGCGGGGAAGGCAGTTGCTTTTGACTTTGCTAACCATGGTCACGCGTTGGTCACGCTCTACGTCCAATTTTTTCGCTCTGATTGGTCAAAATTTGACAGGTGAGCTCATGCGGAAAATTTATGCAGCATCTTGAATCTTGTTTACTTTGACAGCTGAAGCTGACAGAGTTTTGTGTCAACTTGTGATGTTTTTAACTGTCTTTTTCCACTGGATGCACTAAATGAAATTCAGCTGCTATCAGGAATCTTCTGTTATTCATGGCTAGTTGGTTTTTGGTTGAGGAAATAATACATTACTTGTCAAAGTCGGAAATCCGATTTCGGATGGCCTCGATTTCGCTTTTCACCTTGCTTGATGCGTAAGGGTTGAAAAGTTTGAAGCGATACTGGCCTTCCTTGATACCTTTCAGGAGCTGCATGTCGAATGGTAAGCCTCAGTAATTATTGTGTTTGATGTTTGTTTTTTATATCTAATTTAATGAAGTCGAGCGCAGTTTATGCGGCTATGTAGTTTGTGCACGTTTGTAAGATTTGAGACAATTTGATATGACCAAGAATCAGGTTTGATGTAAGCTTACAGAACTTTAAAAAGCCTTTAGACATTTTCTCACCGCAAATAGAAAGAAAACGTTCCAAAAAACATTTAGTTATAATTCTGGCTGTAAAAGAAAGCTTTGAGCTATTTTCTTGTCTCGAGTTCATCTTTGAAAAAAGTAAATATCGGGAAGCCGGCTTAAAACATAAACTTAAGCTTTCAAGTTAAGCTTGAAGACTCAGGATTTTTAGAGACACTTTAATACTTGTCTTCGTCAATGAAAAATGTTGTCTCTGTACATGTTTAACCGATTTATATTTCTTTTATTGATTGTTGGTAGTCTCTCTTGTAATTTTAATCGCCGTGTCGTTTGTTTTCAGTTGTTCAGTGAACATCGCTTGCAGGAGTACTCACAGTGCCGCGGGTATCAAACCGGCGCTTTTAAAGATTACACATCGATAAAACCATTTGATAAAACTGAATAAACATAATTATTTCTTTATTATGTTGTAGCTTAACTCTAGTATGTTCGTTCAAACACTCGCTACAGTTCGCACTGCAAAAGTGAGAACCGGCTGGCCGTATATGATTTTAGAAAGTTTTTTAACGGTTTAAAAAGCCCACGCGTGCTTCGATCGTCCTGAATATTGAATGAGTGCAATTTGTGTTGCAAAATTGTGAAATACTGCATTCTGTCCGAGGTCTGTATGATAAAAACAGTACCTCATTGTACTGTCTCACCTCAGATGTGATGTATAAATGGTATAAAAGGTTGGTTTACACGCACCTGGATTTGTCGGCAAGATTTTGTAAAGTAAACTTGTCGAACGCAAAAAAATTCGGCCTGAATTTTTTTCCCGGCCTAATTAATCTTACGGTGATCAAGAGCCATTATGGCTCCTAAATGTGATCGAAGATAATTGCTATTTTTTGGGTGTACATATGAGGCTATCAAGTTGAGGTAAGATTTTGTTCACTCTTAGGCTGTTTGCAAATTATTTTTCTCTAAAATCACTCAGCCTTTCCCTCAAAAGTCACATGAATGTGCTGCAAGTTTATTGTTTGATTTAAATTATAAATATATTAATGGGAGCCTCGCTTTTAGCCCTGGCTAAATCTATATATTAGGACCACACTCATTAGGCAACTTCAACGATTGACCGTTGAAATTAAAAGCGGTCAGTTAAATTTGGATGGTTGTTATGGAGATGCGTTACATTCACACGCTGGGGCCCATAGGACGTAAACAGCTGCAATGTAGGAACTACTTTTGCATTTTTTATTCGTTTGAGGTCAATCTTTGCAGAATGGTAGAACTCTGTATTTCAAAAAATCCTGTGTTTTTTGTTTTTCGATTTTAACGGTTTTTGGCGGGAAAATAGCGTCATAGAATTGACAGCAAAATTTAAATTTCAAGTTATGGCAAAACAAATAAAGAATTTTGAAAGAGCTTGACGCGATGGAAACAATTGTGAAAATTATTTTTTTGGAAAACCTCCATTGCTTTAAGAGGTATGGCACCTTGAAATGTACTTATGTTTCTAAAAATAGTAACAAAAAGGCGGGAAATTCAAAAATCAAAGCTTAATAACCCTTTAACCAAGTTTTTTTTAAAAAAATCACATTCCATTCTATCACGTCGTGCTTTTTTAAAATTATTTATTTGTTTTGCCATAACTTGAAATTTTAATTTTGCTGTCAATCTTTTGACGTCATTCCTCCCCACCCCACGTCTACTCCCAACCGCTCAATCGTTGAATATATATAAATATATTTTCAAATCTCCTTTAATATACAAGAATTTTCCAAGAGGAGACAATTATTTCAATTTGTTTTGTAGCATGGTTATTCTGCATGCGGAATATCATTCATTCAAAATATTTGTCTGTTTCTGATTGGCTCAAATTCACCGGCTAATTCTTCAAATTAGCTAGAATTGACCAAACTTGGAAGTCGTTTGTGCTATCCAAAAAATGAAGTCCATTTATGGTCGTGGATAAACCCCAGAAAAACGGAGGCAACCGAGAAGCCCTGACGACAAGGTTGCGCTGTTTTGGTAAAGCAGGAGAAAATGGGAGGGAAATTTCACAAAAAAGAACATTTCGAACTACTGCCTGAAAACATCAAAAGAATAGCAAATTTACAACTCGAAGGAGGACAATTACTATTTGAAGAATACAAAATACAATACGTAGAGAATACTTCATGGAAAGTGCAGGCGTACAGTATTTACGCACGAGTTGTTAAGGTACCAGAAATCGAACGAGTGAGCGTAGCGAAAGAGGGAGATTTCTGATACACAAACATCTCGTGCGTAAATACTGTACAAAGCGCTTTCCATGTGGTATTGTGTTTATCATATATACATACTGAGCCAGTCATCATTTTGGCGGCCTTTTTATTTTAACGCTAAAATTTGCCGCTACATGCCCCACACAGCGAAATGACGACGATAACGAAGTATCAGATTTTTAGTAAAAATTTTTGTTAAGAACATCAATGACGGTAACAATATGAGGTAATCCAAGGACTACAAATAATCTTAACTGTTTGTTCTGAATGCACAATTGAAAATGAATGAATTTGAGTAAAATGGTAAGTTTGAATATATTAAAACCTTAAGCTTAACCTTAAATGGAAGACAAAGTAGCTCCGATAAAAAGCACAACATAAGCTAACGTCTTGTTCTGTTTTTCCCCTTCCGCTATTGCTTCGCCCACCCTCTACATATTTCTTTAACGACAGTGAAACAAACGAAACTATTCCACACCAATTTCCGAATTTTTTTTTCACTTTTTGAAAGAAAAAAACTCTTCGAGAAAAACTTTTCTCGTTAAATTCGTGGGAAGCGTTGCTGCAACCTGCAAGAAAAGGCGGAAATTTTCGCACGAAACTCACACACCTCTGTGGCTTCTGCTTGGACGTAACATTTTTCCCCCACCTGAGAAAACATCCTTCGCGATTCTGATTGGACGTATTCTTTTTTGCACGAGTGAAAACCATCGTTCTCTCCTCTGATTGGCTAGAACTCATTTGCGTATGAAAATTTACAACATAGCTTTTTGGTGATTATTTCTCAGTATGCATACCGCTACTGAGTTAGTCAGTCTTATCTTTGACGACTATTAACCAACATATTTTTAAGACCAGACCGGATTGAGCTATTAGAGTGAATTCGTATAAGCCTGTATATTCGTATAAGTTTCTTATATGCTAATTCAGCCCGTGATATATTAATAACCTGCTTGCATTCACGCTGGAATTATCAGTTATTTAAGTTTGGTCCTTGCCTTCTCAATTGTTCTTCTAATTAGCATTTACTGATGTCATTAGCATATAAGAAACGGGTTATACGAATTCACTCTATTTACCCATATAAGAAGCACTTCACGGAAATTAAGCACAAAAAGTAACAAGTCTTTTTTAAAAGACTTGTTACTTTTTGTGTTACTTTTTGTGCTTAATCTTAAAAGACCTTGGCGATAATTACTGCTGAAAATGAGGCAAATAATCGGGTTGACGGCGCAGTTTGCGGCAGCCATGAAGGAGGTAAAGACATCGTATAGCAAAAAATTACAAGAGAACCAAATGGAACTGTTCGGTGCAAAATGTAATATTGTCCGGTTAGTGATGTAGGGGATCCAGCAAAGAAAAAAGACAAACACGACAACAATGGCCATCTTAAGCACTTTTCGGTTTCGTCTTGACCGCATTTCCTTAGCAATGGCTGACTGTTCACCAGGATGGGCGTGTTGCTTAAGCTTGATCAGGATGATAGCGTAAAGTATGATCAACAAAACAAAGGGGATGTAAAAAAATGCAATGAAATATGCTAGGAGGTAGTAACTCGCCGATGATTTTTGTATCGCGCACATTACCATTCCCCCTGGGTGTTCAACACGTTTGAAAGCAAAAAAGTGAGGCAAGTTTGCGGCTACTGCGACGATCCACGTGACGACGATGAAGAAAAGACACAACCTTCTACTGATAAGTGGGGAGCCGCGGATTGGCTTCACAACAGCTCCAAATCGATCCACTCTTATTAGAATCAGGCTCTGAATCGACACTGTCGCAGAAACGGTTAAAAGAAAAAAGCCTGTCTTGCATAAGGTCTGATAAAGGATTTCACTAATAAGCCAATTGTCAACTTGCATCTCTACCAGGCTCAGAGGAAACAGGAATATTGGAATCAACAGGTCCGGTATAGCCATGTTAACGATCATAAAATTTATCGGTTTTCTTAAAGTTGGTGTTTTGATGTTGGCGATAATTACTGCTAAAAATAAGGCAAGTAATCCGTTTGATGGCGCTGTTTGCGACGACCATGAAGTAGGTAAAGTTATCGTATAGTAATGAATTGCAAGAGAACCAGATGGAACTGTTTGGTTCAAAATGTAATATTGTGCAGTTAGAAGCGGGGGGGATCCAGCAAAGAAAAAGCACAAAAACGATAACAAAGGTCATCTT